ATCTGAGGACCGCACACTAAGCAGCCAAGCACTGCCGACTCCTAGGGGCAGAATCTGAAGTCCCTGAGGCTGTCACTACTGGGGAGAAGTAGGGCACAGGCAGGACAGTAGGCTCTGGACTGCTTGTATCTTGCAGAAAAAGAAATCTGCCTGGATCTGACACCCTACTAAAGACTCTGCACAAAAAAGTCATGGGCCCAAAACACATCTGCTAGCTGCTCACTGGCCGCCAATTTGTAGTCTTATTCTGAGGCCTTACCATCAGTTCCTGAACTGGGCATTGTTGAATGTCAGACAGTGTATGCTTTGGCTTGAGTTGTCACTCTATATAGGTGTTTTCTGCTGTCTGTAACGTAAGTGATACCATTATAAGGTGAAAGAAAATTTCATCTTAAAATTCCCCAATTTATTCATAACTCTGAACAGCTGGGTCAAGCAGCTGTCTCAGCCTAAGCCTTGTGGTTGTGTGATTATAGGGAACTTGCCTGGACCCTCTTGCAACTTAGTTCTTGACTTTCAGGTGGCTCCAATAACTTCACCTTCTGCTACACTCAGCACACTTGTAATCTTTCACTTAAATTCTGACTCCCTGGCTATACAATAAGGTCCCTGAGGCAGGGAAGATATGCACAGTATCCAGGTAGGTAGCAAGTGTTTGTAAAGGGATAGATGATTATCCCCTCAAGGATCGATACCAAGACAGATCCCAAAAGGGTAAGGATGCCATAGCCTTACCATTGTCCCTTGGTGGCTGGTGCAGTTCCATGTCTCCTGCCCTGACTGGCTAATATACAGTGCAGGAAGATGGACAAAGCTCAGCATCCAGCTGGCCCGTGGCTCTAGTGTAGATGTAACAGGACTGTGTCTCACTGACATGCTCATGTCACCAGCAGCATCTTCTTCAAACTCAAAATCTCCAAAGATAGCAGAACTGGGCAGTTTAGAATATAGCCATGTAGCTGGGAAGTGGGCCGTCCTCTCTCCCCGGCCTTGGAACCTGACCCCTAGGGTACAGGTAAGTGAAAGAGCTTCATGGAGTAGAAAGCTGATTTGCTATCTCTGGGAGGGGGACCTGGCAAAAACAGCAGTGGCTGCCTGTACACAGGAACATTTTTATTCATTCTGACATGGATTGGCTCCTACCTTGTGCCCTCCCTTAGCAACTACTGTGAATACAAGATAAGCAAGATAGACCCTGCCTGAAGGCACTTGAAGTACAAGGAGCATGGAGGGGCAGGAGAGAGGGAGGGCAAGACAGCAGGGCTGCAGCCCACGGTGGTCCCAGTCGGCTCAGTGATAAGATTTCAGAGCAGGGGGAGATCATTTCTGAGAGGGGTGATAAGAAAAGGCTTCTTGGAAAGCAAACAGATTCCACTGAAGTAGAAAGGAGGAAAGAGCTGGTAGGTGCAATGAACAGACGAAAAGCACAGATGAGAAAAAACGCAAGGCAGACGTGAATCTGGCGGGTAGACTGGTGTGAGGGTGTCTGGGAGCCTTGTCCACTGAGCTCCCAGGTGCAGGCTACTGGGTGAAACCTGTGGCAGGCCCCACTACTCCTGCAGCCATTCTTCCATCGCCTCAAAACAAAAGCACAGGCTTCTCAGTAATCCGAATGCCCAATCAGGCAAAACTTCAGCCTGGCTTGAAAGCCAGGGCTGCTTTTTCTCCCCTTCCCCCACTGCCCTTGGATCTATTGCAGATGGAGAGCCCAAAATGAGGGGAAAGGTCAGTGACCTCTCTGGCTCTCAACCAAACTTCTCTTCTGCCATCTTGCTGACTTATGACCCTTTGGGATTGTGAGAATAGGGAGAGACAGGAGGTGAAGAATGCTCGTGCTTCACGGGGTTGGTTGCAAGGAGCTGGCATTGGCGTTCTCTGAGTGTGACAAGTGCTTGAGGCTTATAGACATTTGCTAGTTCCCTTGCAGATCTACCTTTTGCTGGCTTCCTCCACCGTGGCTGGGAAGCTTTCCTCTTGACTGGGGCTACTGGCGCTCTATTTCAAGTGGTCGCTTCTGCCTCCCTCTGCCCTTTGCATCTCAAGATACTGGCAGCTTCATTTCTGCTTACTCTGTTTACTCTTCCACACAGCCCTCTTAAGCAAGATCTAAAACCCCACATGGCTCCCTTGTGTACAGTTCCCCTCTAGTCTTCATGCAACATTCTCCCAGTAAACTCTGGGAGTGCAAGCCATCCAATGCAACCACTTGCTCTCGTGTTCTGCCACATCAGAGCTGCTAACCAGCCCCTAGTTCAAACTTTAGGTTTTGCAGGTAGGAGATAGACCCTAATCTACTGTGCATCCCAAACAACATGGGGTTAAGATTGAGGGTTCCTTGTGGCATAAAAACCACTCCTTCTGATTTTAGATGAAAAGAGAACCTTCCCCTTCCCTCCTCCTTAGAAGGGGAGGTAGAACTCGTGATGTGCCAAATGCTGAATCCAAAAACTCTCTGCTAATAGACAACCACCAGCTTTTTTATATCCAGCGTGTGGGTGAGAGGTTAAAATCATGTCACCCCTTCTCATTCACTTCTCTCCAAAGTCACGTATTGCATCCCTGTGCTCGCCCACTTCCCCGAGGCTTGTACTATCTGCTGCCTCCCTGGTTCAGCCACAGTTCCTTCTTAACACTTTGTTACGTTGTCATCTCACAGTAGTCACTGTCAGCCTATCAAATAGAACTATTGCCATCTTGTAGAATAGGAAACTGAGCTTCAAAATGATTAAACAATGTGACCAAAGTGACAAGGACAGGTTTTCAATCCAGATCCTTCTGATTCTAGAGCTCTTTGACCATTCTGAATTGGAGGATACATGTGGCTTAACTTTTGAATGATTTTAAAGTTGATTTCCTTAGATTATAGAGGAATCTGAGCCCTTTTTTTCTATATGGAATGAGAAGCCGTTGAAAATTGTTGAACTCCGAGTTACAGATGTCATGATAAACAGGAAACTGGCAGAGATCTATGGGAGAATTGGAGAGGGAGAGGAAATTCAGGAGACTATGGGAAGAATGCAAGAGTAGGTGTTAGAGGATATGTTGAGAGTTACTTTGTTAGAGTAATGATGACATGAGGATAGAAGCCAGGTTGAAAGAATATAAAGAGCAAGGTAAATAAAGCAGAAGTTACAAGTTGTTAGCAGCTGAGTGGATGCACAGAAGTGGATGGCAAGCCAGAGGAACCAGCAGAATCGGAGGATTTTTTTTTCATCATGGGTGAAATCTGATCTTTATAGACAGAGGAGCCAGAAGGCAGAGAGACTGAAGTTGCTGGAGGAAGGGCTGCGACTAAAATAGCAAGGGCCAGGGAACAGTGAATGGGACAGGGTTCACAGGATTGAATGAAGGATACATCATCCTGTAGGACAGGGAAGGAAGAGGAACTATGGGTAAATACTTAATAGACACGCTGCAACAGGGCGGGGGGTAGGGCAGGCACTAAAGGAGGTCATCCCCAAGGTGGTAGTCCATTCCTAGTAAAGTAGTCCAAGTTAGTGGATCAGGAGTGGGGAAGCAGGAGGTGACAGCATCAGCACTGAGGGAGAGTTTGGAATACCCATTATGCTACGTGCATCCAGAAATCAACTGTAAAAATCCAAAGAGAATGAATAAGTCCCACCAGCCTATCATCCAGAGCCTTGAGGTTCAGTAGCCTGAATTCATAGAAATCCAAGTCAGCGATATTCTGTGGTCAAGGAGCAAGAAGAGAAATCATGTGTCTATCATGATCCTGAGTTGGACATCGCGTGGCATGGACTGAGGACTGAGACAGTTTAGAGTTAGCAAGGGTAGCTGGCACAGAAAGTAAGAAAATCAATTGGATAACGAAAAAAAAATTAAATCCATTCAATTCTCTTGGGAGGTCTCTGTGGAGACAAGTATTTGCTACCTTGGTTATAGGGAAATGGGCAAGGCATAGGTGAAGAGGCTGTGGGTATAGACCAGGCTTACTGGGTAGATCATTTCTATGGAACCCAACCTTGTGAGAGAAGGGTTTGAAGCTAAGAGAGCACTGGCTGCCGTGCCTCACAGTACTTATCCTCTTTAATCAAATTGTGAGAGGTTGAGAGATAAAAGAATATCAAAGGAGATGCATGGCTGATGAAAATGCTTGTTCTAGAACCCATTTTACCCTTCTACAATGGGCATTTCATTACCAGAGCTGAAAAGAAATATTTTGGGCAATGATATGATGAAGTTGTTCTAAGTGTTACTTAAGTGTTAAGTTATTTAAGTGTGGTAGATTGTAGAGAGTTCTTACCAAACCTACAACCTCTATTGTTTTAAACACAAAGATCAGAGACCTTATTTATGGTATAACCACTTCTGGCCGTGACTGTACTTTCAAATGTCTAGGGAACAATACCATAGAAACCTTGAATAAAGACACAAATGGAAACATGGCGATTGTAGCAAAGTGGGCCTCATCATTCTGAATGACAACCATAATAAAAGGTCTGGGTAGATAGTTTTTGTCTGACTTTTGTCTACGAGTAACCAAAAATATCAAGTCATAGGATCTTCAGTTAGCTTACTCATGACACAGCACCATTCAAATAAGATTCTAGACTCTTGTGGGAAGGAATAAATATATAGTATACCTGAAAGAAACTAAGTCACAAAATCACTTGCCCAAGATCACAAAGTGAATTGTGGCCTCAGACAATGCTCTCCAGCTACTCTTTAATAAGTTCATTTAATACCCCATTGATCTTGGTATCCCCTTGGAGGCAGAATCTTGTAAAATTTAGGATGATGTTATCAACCTGAACAAAGTTCCAAAACTGTCCCTTGGTTGTTCTTGCTCAGCTCCTTGAACTTTAATGAAAGCTGCTGTGGGAGACAGTGAGTGAGCAGGTGTCCAGCTGGCCTCACTGAGCCAACCTTGGCTGAGTCTCCCACAACATCTTTAGGCTTCAGTTGAGAGTTCCGGGAAAGGGACCTGATGTTTCCTTTCACCACTAACACTTGTCCTCTGGCTCCTCTCTCGCCCACAGCTCCGAATGGCCTGGCTCATCCGTGGAGTCTTGAGGGGAAACGTGTCCTTGGTGCTGGTGGAGAATAAGACTGGGAGGGAACAAAGCAGGATCCTCTGGCACGGTGCTCCCGGTGATGGCCTGAGCCTGTGGCAGTGGGCAGTGTTGCCGCTCCTCGACGTGTCTGACAGGTGGGCCTCTACCATCCCTACCCCTCCCTTAACCCCCGTCACCAGAACGCAGAAAAGGGCTCTGATTTTCCTCCTCCCTAGCCCTTTACCCAAGACACCCCTGCAGATGCGCATGCCCATACGTGTACGCACACATGTTCACATGCACACACCTTCTGCAGGTTACGAGGAGCTAGAGAAGTCTCCACAGGTTTTTGATGCTCATGAGCACTCATCTCCCACCTCTCTGCTCTGGTCCAGTTGACTGTCTCTGTTATCCATAGAAAGAAAACGCAACAACCCACATTAGCCCTGAATAACAGTCAGGCTTTATTTTTTTTTTTTTTTCTGACAGGCAGAGTTAGACAGTGAGAGAGAGAGAGAGAGACAGAGAGAAAAGTCTTCCTTTTTCCATTGGTTCACCCCCCAAATGGCTGCCACGGCTGGCACGCTGCACCGATCCGAAGCCAGGAGCCAGGTGCTTCCTCCTGGTCTCCCATGCGGGTGCAGGGCCCAAGGACCTGGGCCATCCTCCACTGCCTTTCCGGGCCACAGCAGAGAGCTGGCCTGGAAGAGGAGCAACCGGGACAGAATCCGGCACCCCAACCGGGACTAGAACCTGAGTGCCAGTGCCGCAGGTGGAGGATTAGTCTAGTGAGCCGCAGTGCTGGCCCAGGCTGTATATGTTTGTAGCATTCCCTCTTGATGGATTTTGTCTTACCTTCTCATTTGACATTTATTTTTGCTTATTAACAAGAAAACCTGCAGGATGGGTAAGATGGGACTTATTATCATCATCCTCCATTCCTGGCTTTTTACAAGGAGAGAAATTGAAAATCAAAGAGGTAAAATGCTGGCAAAATGGCATCCATCAGGACTGGTGCCCAGGTCCCACTCATACCCAGTTCTCTATTGAGGGTAATCCTGAAGCAAGTTGATAAAGTGGATGACAAATCCTTCGGTAAACAGAGGGAGTCTGGTTCCTATTTGGAGTCTGCACCAGTGACCTCTGTGACCTTGGTTTGTCCTCGGTTTCCTCACCTTTAAGCTGAGAGTACTGGCCCAGCAGCTCCCTAACTCTGCCTGGCTCTGAAATAGAGCAGCAGCCCCTGGAGTTCTGCTGCCACTGGTCTTCCCAGGATGGCTCCGCTCTGCCACCTGTCGGCCTGAAGCAGGCAGTGCTTGAATGAAGACGGCCTGACTCAGCAGCAGCCCATGATCCTGCCATGAGTACTCAGCACAACACATGGTCCTGCCGTGTGTACTCAGCACAGCAGTGATCCTGCCACGTGTGAGCACAGCAGTGATCCTGCCGCGTGTACTGAGCACAGCAGTGGTCCTGCCATGTGTACTCAGCACAACACGTGGTCCTGCTGTGTGTACTGAGCACAGCAGTGGTCCTGCCACATGTACTGAGCACAGCAGTGCTCCTGCCGTGTGTACTGAGCACAGCAGTGATCCTGCCACGTGTACTCAGCACAGCAGTGATCTTGCCGCGTGTACTGAGCACAGCATTGATCCTGCCGTGTGTACTGAGCACAGCAGTGATCCTGCCGCATGTACTCAGCACAGCAGTGCTCCTACCGCGTGTACTGAGCACAGCAGTGATCCTGCCGGGTGTACTGAGCACAGCAGTGATCCTACCGCGTGTACTGAGCACAGCAGTGATCCTACCGCGTGTACTGAGCACAGCAGTGATCCTGCCGGGTGTACTGAGCACAGCAGTGATCCTGCCACGTGTACTCAGCACAGCAGTGATCCTGCCGCGTGTACTGAGCACAGCAGTGATCCTGCCGCGTGTACTGAGCACAGCAGTGGTCCTGCCATGTGTACTCAGCACAGCAGTGATCCTGCCACGTGTACTGAGCACAGCAGTGATCCTGCCGTGTGTACTGAGCTCAGCAGTGATCCTGCCATGTGTACTGAACACAGCAGTGATCCTGCCGCGTGTACTGAGCACAGCAGTGATCCTGCCGGGTATACTCCGCACAGCAGTGATCCTGCCACATGTACTGAGCACAGCAGTGATCCTGCCGTGTGTACTGAGCACAGCAGTGGTCCTGCCGTGTGTACTCAGCAGCACGTGGTCCCACCGTGTGTACTCAGCACAGCAGTGATTCTGCCGCATGTACTGAGCACAGCAGTGGTCCTGCCATGTGTACTCAGCAGCACGTGGTTCCACCGTGTGTACTCAGCACAGCAGAGATCCTGCCGCGTGTACTGAGCACAGCAGTGATCCTGCTGCATGTACTGAGCACAGCAGTGATCCTGCCGTGTGTACTCAGCACAGCAGTGATCCTGCCGCGTGTGCTGAGCACAGCAATGATCCTGCCACATGTACTGAGCACAGCAGTGATCCTGCCGTGTGTACTGAGCACAGCAGAGATCCTGCCGCGTGTACTCAGCACAGCAGTGATCCTGCCGCGTGTACTGAGCACAGCAGTGGTCCTGCCATGTGTACTCAGCAGCACGTGGTCCCACCGTGTGTACTCAGCACAGCAGTGATCCTGCCGGGTGTACTGGGCTTTCAGTGGTTGGTGCGATCTGTCCCAGACCAAAAGGGAACAGGAATTGTTTCTAAAAGGGGGCAAGCAAATGGATCTGGAGCAGAAAAGCTACCTTTTATAGACTAAATGTCAAACTCTACAATCCACATTCTCCTCACACATATTTAAATTGCCATCTTGGTGGATCCACTTCTGAAAAACAAGGGCCAGAGGCTCAAGGTAAGATGAACGGTGACGCCAGTTGGCATGCGGCTTTGTAAGCATTGACCTGGGGCTTCGGGTCCTTCACCCAGACCCCTGAATCTGCCGTTTACAAGAGCTCATAGCTGGAGTTTGCTGTCACAGAAAGGAGATGTTGCCCTCACTCTGAGCACCAGCTAGCAACTCCTTCAGGTGTAGGTGGGTTAAAGATCTCAGGTCACAGATATTCTGAGGCTCAGTGACCCCAGGACTAGTAGTTTTAATTAAACTAGAGGAAGAGGAAGTGTAGGCACTGCCCACCATGGACTAGTGTTTTGTCCTTTGGGGTTATGGGGGCTGTGCATAGGGATCAGAGAATGGGAGGGTGATGCTAGGGACCTCCACCTGGGAGATAAAAATTAATTCAAATGAATCAGATTGCTTCTTCTTCGATCCAGCAGATTCTCTCTCTTTCACAGCCACTCCAGATTTAAAGCAAGTGAGGTGTTGACTCTGTTAACTGCCGTCCACTAGCAATTCATTTGAAGGAGACTTTGTTCTCAGCCTCCCTCCTCCCTGTTGAAGGCCATTTACCACACTGACATTTCCAATACCGATACTGAGACCAAAACTGTCCAGTGGGATTCAGACAAAGGCCAGGTCAGTTTGATGACAACTTATGACCTAATAAGAGTGCAATTACAGCCAACAAGAGTGCCACCGTTCTCTGAGCCCTGCACACCCTGGCATGCTCTGGTGCTGGAAGCTACCCTCCCAGAGCTAGAGAAGCATAGGAGACGGAAGACTCAAGGCAGATCTGCAGAAGAATGAGTTTGCCCCTGCTAAATTTAGACAAGACTGTAGATGTGAAGTAACTGGCTCATAAAACTGAAGACGCTCTCCAAATGAAAGAACATGGGCTTCCGAATCTGTCCCAAATTTATAAACTGGCTCAGCCACTTACTAATTGTGTCACCTCTGCCAATTATTTGACCTCTCTGAGCCATGGCATCTGAATCTGTAAAATGGGGATTATCATAGTACAGCTTCACAGGATTGCTATGAAACTAAAGTGGCTCAAAAGAAACTCTGCATAGTAGCCTACCAATGAGTTCTATTGCCTTCCTCTTCTATACTCACCTTTAGTTATTTTATCCCAATAATCATTTATGGAGCAACTAGCAGAAATCACAACCACCACACTTCCAAGTCAACCCATACTCAGTGAAAGAGAGATAATAGAGTCTCCTCTTAGGCTTAGAGAAGTAGAGTGCCTGGCAAACTGCCTGCCCCACACTAAATGTTTTGTCAATAATAACTACTAATAAAAACTATAATTTAACAGTGACACTATCAGGAGAGTCTGGGGTGGCCGATTTAGCATTACAGCCAATCATGAACCTTAAGATAAAGGGATGTGTGCTTTGCCATCAATGTTCTGTTGACTCTCTGTAAGGAGAAGTTCTGATGAAACAAGAATCACCCTGAGAGAGCTAGAGCTTCCTGGATTGTCAAAAAAATGAAAAATAGAGAAGGAAGAAGGGAGAGGGAGAGGATAAATAGGGTAGGGGAAAAGTAAATGGATAAAAGGTGAAGAAAGACCAACTCCCTTTTCCCAGCCCTGAGGGAGATGCTAGCACCTTGCGCCACCTGCCCGCTTCCGATGATGCTCCCTTAGGTGGCTGCTGGCTTATTCTTCAGCACCTGGCTTGTGGACAGCGCCCAAACGTGAACCTTCAGGGTGGGGAACACTTCATTTTCTAAGCTGCCTCAGTTCACTTGTTACCACGTATTGCAAATTTCTTCAAAGCAACTTTACTGGGGTGAGCCCTAGAAAGCCCCTGGGTTATAGACACTGGTCATAGCCCCTGGGCATTACATTAGTAAACTTTCTAAGCATAAATCTAGTAATCATCTCCCAGTTTAGAAAATCTTTCCATGGCTTCCTGTGGTTTGTAGAGTGCCAAAGACCTTTATTTAGACCCATGTGTGATCTCCCCAACTCACACTTTGCCAGCCCTTTCTTCCTCTCTACTCTACCCAGTACCCACACTGCTCAGTTGTTCCAAGCTGAATTCTTACCTCCAGGCTGTTGCATCTGCCATCCTCTTCATCTCCTTGCTCTTCTTTCGCCTTCTCTCTATATATGCCCCTCTTCCTCTGGTTTTTAAAGAAATCTGTCCACACCTATGGACCATGTATGGACCTACAGTATAATCCTATGGCTCTTAAAACATTCCTGTAGTAATTTGTAGCTCTTTATTGTCTTTTTAAATTTTTATTTATGTTTTTAGTATCTTAACATACACAATGATGGAGAGGTGATTATGTCTG